TAGCTTTCATTTTACTATTTCTCTCTTTAGTTATGTTTAATCTGCTGTTCAATTTATCTATTAGGCCTTGGCCAGGTAGCTAAGTTGTTTAGAGTGTTGTCCTGATATGCCAATGCCAAGGCTGTTGGTTTGATCCCCAGTCAGGGCACATACAAGAATCAACCAATGAATGCATAAATAAGTGAAACAACAGATCAATTTCTCCTCTCCTTCTCTCAAATCAATCAATAAAATATGTGTTAAATTCTTTCAGTATTTCAACTTCTAGAATTTCCATTTGATTCTTATTTTAATTTTTTATTGATTCTTAGAGAGAGAAGAAGGGAAAGGGAGAGAGAGAGAGAGATATCGATGAGAGAGAACGTCGATTGGCTGCCTCCAGCATGCCCCCACTGGGGATTTGGCCCACAACTTGGGGATATGCCCTGACCAGGAATTGAACTGGAAATTACTAGGTGCATGGGTTGATCTTCAACTACTGAGCCACACTGGGTGAGCTGATTCTTATTTTAATACATCCCAATTTTTGGTGAAATTCAGCATCTTTTCCTGAATATATTAGTCATAATTATTTCAGAGCTTGTGCCTGATAATTCTAAAATCTGAATTCCCTGTACATCTGTATCTGCTGTCTAGTTTATTGGATTTTAGTAATTTGATCCCATTTCCTGCAATGCCTATTCTGATTTGGATACTGGACATTGTATATGAAAAATTGTGAAGTCTATGGAGAACTTATTGTCTTCCACAGAGGATTTACTTTTCTTTGATCTACTCAGAAATAGAAGTTCTTTGAGAATATGTGATCTTAACTGAAAGTCAGCTACATTTACCAGGACCACTCCTTTTTGGAAAGCCTAATTTTTGTCCCTGTAACATCATGATATTGTCAAGATCTATATTTAGTTTTTCAGCTTATTTGAAGCTAATTATTATGTTTATTTTTTTCTCAACTTTTTGCCCTTTATATGCAGCTCAGGCATAATCATATAACTCAAGAGAAAGCTGTTTGAAGAATATTGGGCTCTCTTCTTTCTTGTACCTTTTCCCAAGGTTTTAGACCCTCAAGTTATGACTGCTTCTGTAGCCCCAACCCATGTACCCCCAACTCAGTGAGACATTATTTAAGCTCTAAAACATCACTTACTGTTTGGCTTCTATACAAAACTGCAAATGCCCTAAAGGAAAAATGTAGCAGTAAATATGGGGCTCACTTCAATGGACTTTTCTTCTCTCCAAGTACTGGCTCATTAAGTTTTGGCTGTTTCTGTGCTCTTACATGCCTTCAAAATTTTTTTGTTGTTGCTCCTGTTGAGAATTTAAGAAACCTCTTACATGACTTTTATAGTTTTTCTTAACAGAAGAATTGGCTTAATACAAGCTATTCTTTGATAACCTGAAGCAGAAGTTTATCTCATCTAATTTTCATACTGTCTTTATGAACTAAATAAAGATGGGAAGTTGTTATGTGCATAAGCTTTGGAGTCAGAATTTGGAATTTAAATCTTAGCTGGCTGCTGACCCAAACGTGAGAACTTGGACAAATTTTAACCCCTCTGACCCTCTACTTCCTCCCATTTTAATATATACCTGGGAAATGAGCTTGAAGGAAGCTTTGAAGATTAGATCATCCCACTTTTATGTAAACTATTTCAGAACATAATAAAAGGAAAACTTCTAAATTCATTATATGAAAGTGGTATTATTTTAATTCCTAAAACTGAGAAAAATAGCACCTAAAAATTATAGACTACTCTCATTTATGAATATCAATGCAAGAACATATTTAAAATCATAGAAAACAGAATCCAGCAGAGTATTTTGAAAAATATGTAGTAATATATATAGAATTATATATACAATGGAATACTACTCAACCATAAAGAGATGAAATGTTGCCATTTGCAACATCTTGGCTGGATCTTGAGGGTATTATGCTAAGAAAATAAATCAGACAGAAAAGGACAAAAACCTTATGATTTCACTCATATGTGGAATATAAAACCAAAAATTAGCAAACAAACAAGCAAACCAAAACAAATTCATAGATACAAACAATAGATTGGTGATTAGCAGAGACAAAGGGGGTTGTGGGGAGGGTGAAATGGGTAAAGGAGATCAAACACATGGTGATGAATTAAAGCTAGACTTTTGGTGGTGAGCACACCATTGAGTATACAGATATTGAATTACAATGTTGTACACCTGAAATTTATATAATGTTATCAACAAATGTTACCTCAATAAAAATAATATGAAGAAAAGGAAATATTTTTAAAAAGAAAAGCTTATTTCAGAAATACAGGGATAATTGAATACTATGAAATCTACTAAATAAGTCATCAAATTAATAGAACTAAGGAAAATATCATACAGTCATTTTTATAAGTGCAAAAAAATCTTTGATAAAATTCATCACATTTATTTTATTTTTTTTCACTCAACAAATATGTATTGAGCACTGAGGATGCAAGAGTGGAACAGATACTGGCACCATCCCAGCTCACATTCCAGTGGAGGGAAAGAGGCAACGAATAAATAAGGGGACACACTAAACCATTTGTTTTTAAAACATTTATTTAAAAATATGCATGGATTTTATTAATGTAATAAACTGTTGGCCAAAAGCTAACATTTTACTTAATAGGCAAATACTAAAAGTTTTCTTCTTAAAGTCAGAAATAAGACCAGGATGCCCACTATGTCCATAGTTTTTAATATTAAATTGAGGAGTTAGCTAAAGCAATAAGACAAGAGAAAGCAACTAAAGACATAGGAAATGAAAAGAAAAATAAAATCATTGCTATTTACAGATTATTCCAAAATAATCAATGGAAAAACTATTACAAACAATACAATATTTAGTCAAGTGGCTGGTTATAAAATTAATATATAAAAATCAATTGCCATCATACATACAAACAAAAACGAGTTAGAAGATATAATGAAAGTGAAATTCCATTTATGGTAACAAAAAAGAACTATTCAAAATACTTAAGGAAAATGATCACCCTTGAAAGAAATAAAAGTAGACCTGAACCAATTATTTAAAATATGTTGCTAGCCCTGGCTGGTTTCTCAGTGGTTAGAGCATCAGTTCATGGACCAGAGAGTCCTGGGTTCAGTTCCCATAAGGGCATGTACCTCGGTTGTAGTTTGTCCCCAGCCCTGGTTGGGGTCGTGTGGGTGGCAACTAGTTGATGTGTCTCTGTCACATCGATGTTTCTTTCTCTTTCTCTCTTCCTCCCTCCTGCTCTATCTGAAGATAAATGCAAAAATGTCCTCAGGTGAGGATAAAAAAAAATTTTTTTTAAATAAAATATCATGTTGCTAGATAAGAGGATACATGATACCACTGTTAACTTTCTCTAAGTTAATTTATAAATTTTATGCAGTTGCAATAAAACTTCCCTAAAGTGTTTTTCTAGAGCCATAAAAGTTGATTATTAATTTTCCCTCTTCCACAAATGCTAGTTATTTTGTGGAGCAGAGAGCTGAGTAACAGTGTGGGCGGAGCTGAGTTTGCTTTGTGCATGGTGTGCTTTGTGGCCTTCATAGGTCTCATTACACTCAGCACTGACCATGCTCCTCTTCTGAGCCCGAGGCGTGAGCGTCCCTTCGGGAACCAGCATTCCAGAAGCCCATTTGGTTCAGTGTGCTGTGCTCATGGGCGGCTGGCCTGTCACATGTATCTTCCACTGGCCTCCCCTGGGCTTCTGACTTGTTACAGAGGTGGCAGTCAGAGTGTAATTCGGGGAGAACAAACTTTTCAGTGCCTCCTCAGCTTTCTCTCTGATATTGCCTCCCGCCCCTGACACCAAAAGGATGCTAAATGCTAAGGTATGAATGACCAAGCCATCTATTTAAAAAGTACTGGTACTGAATGGCCTTCTTGGTCGTGATGGTGAGGAGTTGGCCCAGGTTTGGTGTTTCATTTTCTTCAGTTGCTAGCATGTATTTTCAGATTACTCTCAATATTAGGCTTTTTGTCCTAACCGGGTCATTTATGATGAATTGTAGATACTTTATTAGTTATGACATTACAGTATGTTTTCAGCCTTTCCCCCTATTACTTCTCACTGGGTCTTTTTCTGCTTCCTGGGTATGCCCTGTGCTCTTACCCACTCGACCTCGTCTGAAGCCATTCTGTCTTCCTGGTGCAGCCTCCTTCCCTAGTCTTGTCTGAAAGCCTGCCCATTCTTCAGTGCTGTTTTCAAAGGTTCTTTTAAAAACCCTTTCCAGCTCAATGTGAACATACTGGTATTTATCAAGGAAAAATCACCCCTTTATGTTTGTTCTGTAGCCTCCTGTTCAACTGTGTATATCTTCAATGTAGGGACTCTGTGTGTTTTACCTGTGTAACTTCTAAAACACTTTGCTATTGACCTGTACATAGCAGGAAGATGAAACTGAATTAAGAAAAACCAAGGGCTTAGTTTAGTCAGTGGCATGGACTGGCTATCCATATTGTCTGTTAGATCCTACCCTTTGGAAACTACTGCGTTGAGCATAATCAGTCCCCAGATCATGCCAGTGACCTACACAGGAGCAATGTTGGTTTCCATTGTGGCACCACTAACTGGAGTGCTGGCGAGGTCACGCTGGCCCTTGTCTGTTTATGTTTTCCCCAGGCCCAAGCACCTGCAGTCTAGGTGGAGGCTGGGGCATTGACCTGGAACAAGGTCTTCTACTGGTACCAGCCCAGATTCCACATAAAGAAGACCGTGAGAGTTGGTTCTGCTAACTTAAAACTGCGTGATTAACAGTATTTTTACCTAAGTCTCCTAAACAACAAGTTGTTTACATTGACAGATGTGTGTGTGTGTGTGTGTGTGTGTGTGTGTGTTTTGAGAGTTTAAGATCCAGCATTGCTGAATGTCATGTTCTTATGACATTGTTCACCTTTCTGTGAATAAATGTCTAATAAAAGGTGAGATGTTTGCAAATAACTGTACACATGAATTATTCTTCAAAAACACAAAGCCTTTCTTTTCTTGCAGGAATTCAGAAGCTTTGAAGTCACAAGAAGAAAAGGTAGGAAAAATGCATTCATACTCATTTCATTTTCAATGTTGACACCCTGGGAGAAGTTTATTGAACTTCAGACTGTGGGAAGCCTGTTCTTTGAAATTTCAGGTGGCCCTTTCTGGGCACTGACTGTTTGGTCCTTGGCTTCTAGGGACTGCAAGGACCGAGGCCAGGTTTGCTCGCGAGAGCCATGTTTTCTGCCTTCAAGTATCAGAGGTGGGGTTGGGAACTGGCTCGTTCATGATCATGTTTACAATCTTCTTGCATGAAGGCTTATTATTATTATTTTTGAGTGAAGTCTGATATAATTATTAAGTTTCACCCAGCAGAAAGAGCATCAACAATAAAAATTGGTTTATGGCTTGAGGTATTTCAATGTCTTGGAAAAGATGCCACTGTGAAAAATATTTCTGATTAGATTTTTACAGCTTTAGCTAAACTGAAATAGAAATAACCAATTAATTTTCCTTTCAAAAACAATTCCATGATGTTCTATTTTCCCTGCCAGTTCCTTAGCACATTTGTTTTCTGGTTTCTGAGGTAAGTATCTGGGTGGTAATTTCTGAAATCTCTTAGTGGAAATTTAAGTTTCCCTTACTGACCTTCGGCAGTACCTAGTCTCTAATAAAACAATGTCTTTTGGGTGATTTATGGAATCATCACCAGTCATCCCTTAATTGCAGGGATGGGAAGATGAAGTCAGAAACCAAAGTGAATTTTTGGTCTAAAATCTGGCCTTTTTGCTTTATTATTATATTTTTTATTGTTGACACTATTACAGATGTCGCCCCTTTGCCTACCTCTGCCTAGCCCCCACCCCTTCTCCCCTGGCCTTCACCACACTATTGTTTGTGTCCATGGGGGATGCATCATTGTTTTTTTTTGCTAATCTCTTCACCTATTATCCAGTCCCCCCTTCTGCATCCTCTCTGACATCTGTCAGTCTGTTCCATGTTTTCATGCCTCTGGTTCTATTTTGTTCATTAAATTCCACATATTAGTGAGATCATATGGTATTTGTCTTTCTCTGACTGGCTTATTTCACTTACCATAATACTCTCCAGGTTCATCCATACTGTTGAAAAGCATAAGAGTTCCTTCTTTTTTATTTTTTTTTTACAGCTGCATAGTATTCTACTGTGTAAGTGTATCACAGCTTTTTTATCCACTCATCTACTGATGGGCAGTTGGGATGTTTCCAGATCTTGGCTACTATAAAAACACTGATATGAACACAGGGACACATATATTCTTTCTGATCGGTTTTTAAAGATTCTTAGGATATATTCCCAGGAGTGGAATATCTGGGTCATAAGGCAGGTCCATTTTTACTCTTTTGAGGAAACTCCATACTGTTTTCCACAGTGGCTGCACCAGTCTGCATTCCCACCAACAATGCACAAGGGTTCCCTTTCCTCCACATCCTCGCCAACACGTTTGTTAATGTATTGATGATAGCTATTTTGACAGGTATGAGGTGATACCTCACTGTGGTTTTAATTTGCATCTCTCTGATGATTAGTGATGTTGAACATTTTTTTTTTTTTTTTCATCCTCACCTGAGGATTTTTTTTCCATTTTTTGTACAGATAGAGTGGGAGGGAGAGAGAGGAAGGGAGAGAGAGAAAAACATCGACGTGAAGGGACACATCGAGTGGCTGCCACCCGCACGACCAACCAGGGCCGGGGACAAACTGCAACCGAATTACGTGCCCTTAGCGGGAACCGAACCCGGGTCTCTCCGGACCGCAGGCCGACGCTCTAACCGCTGAGCCAAACTGGCCAGGGCAGTGATGTTGAACATTTTTTCATATGTCTAAACTTTGGTTTTAGATTTAACCACATCCTTCTCTGTGGCAATGTCTCTAAAAAGATTGTTATCTTTAAAAAGTGAGCAAATTTCACATTGACTCCTAAATGTAACATATTCTTGCTTCTATTTAATTCTTATTTTATGCACCACAATGAAAGACATAGAATGGCCATATACATTTTCAAAGTGTGTTTCTGGAGCTTGGAGACCTAAACTTTCCATACTATCTATATTGGTGGACTAAATTCAACTGGTTGTCTGCTGCTGTCCATGGTGCTGGAACCTTGGATTCAAAGGATATAGATAATCTGGCTCTAGGATGAACTTCTGGCTTCCATTCCCATTTGCTATTGTGTCTGGTTTTGGACTCCATGTTTTCTGAATTGCATCCATAGGTTAAAACTACATTGTTTGGGTATCAAAACTAAATTAAATTGGATTAAGATGGGTGGGGCAGGGAAGACATGTTTCTTATTGAAAGTTATGTTCACAATGGGCGTGATGACCACGTAAATTGGAGAGAAATAGTCACAAAGAGAGACGGTGACATGAACTTTGATTTTGAATACTATCCTATGCATGTCAGTATTCCTGAGTGTGAATGTTTGGAATTAATTTGCATTGTGGGATCACATTACCTGGGACTCTTCCTGTCCTTGTGTTAGAAATGGGATATGAGAGAACTATGTACATTTTCCTCAAAGACATACAAAGGCTTAGAATACCAAAGGCTGTCTGAGGATTGCACAGGCCTGATGAGGCTGTGCTCTGCTCATCCACAACCTTCTCCTCTCTTGAAGCAGCACTTTCACAGCTGGCTGGCCAGCCTTACGCTGGGTTTGTACTGGCAACTTTGTCTTAACATCACATGAACTTTTTTCTTCCTATTTTGCACTGATGTCTTGCTTGCATGTTTCTGTCAAAGTTGAATGTCTGAGAGTTCCTGAAATAGCTCAGTGCCTCAATGTCAATGCTTATAATCTGGCAGAAGGAAGGAAGAGTGGGACCTTGCAGGTTGGTTGCAAGTATTTCTGTCTGAGAATTCACAGGTTTGGGCGGCGCAGTTGTTAATCTTCTCCAGAACAGTGTATGGGTATATAAATAATAGAGGCACTGTGAATATTTTAATAAATTATCATTCCTCCAAACACAAGATATTATTGTCTATCCACAAATACTTAATGTTGGTGCCTTAGTTTTGACTTGACCTGGAACAGAAATTGGAGCAAGTAAATAACATTCTGAATGTTTCTGCTAGGTTTACCAGGCCCAGGAGACTCTGGAGAGGTCTGGAGGGGTAGCCTCTGAACCACAACACCTAATATATGTTTGTGTTGTTTAACTACCATACCTGAATCAGGGATATCACTTTGTCCAGGGTTCAGTGCTACAACTGGATGACCAACTGCAAACTCACACTATATGACTTTTGGAAATTTTTTGCTATATCTTTGAAGTGAGGGGGTGCTAATGTTAGTAGTGAAAATGGATTCCAGGCTGAATCATAGTGGGGCTGGAGAGTGTTAGTGTGACATGAATGTACCATGTGTCTTAGACCTGCTCTCTGCCTTGTTTGTCCTGTGGCCCTCCCAGCCTTGGGTCCAGTGTTATGGTTCCTAGAGTACAGCCCAGCTTTCTTACCTCTAGCCTAACTCACATTGTTCCTCCAGCCTGCATGATCTTTCTTGAAGCATTTAGCTTACCCTACCTTATCATTTCCTTACAGTAGAGACCCTGCCGTCCTTCAGCCCCAGATTCCTCACGGTCCTAGCCTAGGGCCTGTAACTATTCAATACATTTTTTTTAATTTTTAAAAATTAAATGCAAGCCACAGATTGCTTTATGTCTATTGCCCTTTAATGCTAATCTTGCCCTAGTGATATAGGAGTGAGGCACTGAGTGCTTTGGTTCTGGAAAGGTACTTTTTAAAGAGTGCTCTGGGTATATCCATTGGATGTGCCTAACAAATGCATCGATGAAAATGCTCCATGTTCAAATAAGCTGGTGTTATGGGTTGAATTGTGTCCCCTGAAAAAGATATGTTGAAGTTCTAGCCTAGAACTTGTGGAGGTGACCTTATTTGGAAGTAGGATCTTGGTAGATGTGTGACAAGTTAAGATGAGATCCTGCTGGATTAGTATGGGCATGAATCCAATGAGTGATACCCTGATCAGAAGGGGGAGTTTGGACACAGACATATGGGGAGAACACCACGTGATGGTAGAGGCAGAGATCAGAGCGATGAGTCTATATGCCAAGGAAGGTCAAGCGCTGCTGGCAACCACCAGAGGCCAAGAAGAGGCAAGGAAGGATCCTCCCTGGAGCCTTCAGAAGAATCATGGCTCAGCCAACACCGTGATTTCTGACTTCCAGTCTCCAGAACTGTGAGAAATTAGTCTCTTGTTTTAAACTACCAGTATGGAGAGATCTGTTTAGCAGCCCTAGAAAGCTAAGACACTAGGCAAATGCCAGACTCTGTTGAACTAGTTTTGTCATTGTTGCTGATGTTCTTACTGCAGAACCTCTTAGGTCTTTAAGATGCTAAATATGACTCTCAACATGGGGTGTACTATGCAGCATTTTTAAAACTTAGCTTCCCATGGCATCTCAATTTTTAAATCATGTTGGGACTGGCATACAATGCCCTTTGCCAGCCCTGCTGTAGAGAGGTGCACTACACCTCAGGAAGAGGGTGCACTCTCTCAGCGCCCAGGACCAGATGCCCTGGCATCGGTGACTTCCAAGGGCAGTGCAAGGACAGGATGGTAGGGTAGTAATCACTTCTTCGTTGTTCTGAAGTTTTCAGAGACCTTTTGCATTCTTTACCTCCCATGACCCTCAGCAACCCATGACAGGAGCAGGGCAGACAGCACCTTACACGTGAGACTCCTTCCTTCCTGAAGCCATCTGACTTTAGTAGGACACAGTCTCCCTCTGACGCATTGGTCCTCTCTCTAAAGGGGTGGTGGCTTAAATGACTTGATCTTGCATTATCACATCCAAGGTTTTCTGCACCTACAGGTCCACTCCCAAGTCCAGATTGCTGAGAGGGACTCTTGTAAGAAAACTTCCTAGGGGAGCTTTGTTTCCAAGTTAGCTCACTGGTAAGGATCCTCAGGGAAACCTGGAGGGAGATACAGTATCAGAGACTGTGGCAGGACTGAAGGACTGTTAGGATGTTTTTTTGGAAGGA